GGAGATAGAACCTTGATGTGTCCTGATTGTACGTGTGTGAGTTTGTGCTCTCAAAGGATGGTCCTTAAAAAACTCCCTGCTGGAAGCTATTGTGCATATTGCAAAAGGACCGTTGCTAAGTGCCAATTGAGCTGGTACTGTATACTTGCCATTTTAAAAGAAGATTTCATACCACTTGATTATGTTAAATAGAAATGTTTGAAATTTAAACTGAATTACATCAAAATGGCACAGTAGTTATATGTCTAAAGAGCTGCTGCTACTCACTCTCGTAACTAATGTCAATCCCTTCTGGTAGACAGTTTTATGTGAAATCGTGGTAGAGTATATTAGAGGTGAAGTTTAGAGAGCCTTGATATAAAAAATGCCATAAATAAATACTACCTTAAACCAGGCCAGTGTTTGTATTAACAAGCAAGAAGTGTTTGTATTAACAAGCAAGAACTCCTTTACAGTAAAGTACTGTCCTTAACCAAAAAGATATACCATTTTAAATGTCAGAACTTCATTTTCAGCCTTTAGGCTACTCTAAGGTGTCAGAATTTTTTCTGTGCAGATGATAGTTATTTGGGGTACTTGGTCTACTCTTTTAATACAATCTAGATATATACTTAGTAGAAATAATGCAGAAATTACCTCAAGACCAGCTTATGAAGAAAAAAAAAGAAAGATTAATATTAACAATATATAATCAACATTGGGGTCTGGCTAGAATCAGAATTCCAGCATTATTAAATGGTAGAGGAGAAGTGCATGCTAAAAACTCAAAATGAAACTAGATGAGCACCTAGTCTGCATATACAAATCTGGTTTTTTTATGATCAATAACTACTGATAATACATGCAGAGAAGTAGTAATCGCCTTTAAAAAGCTACTTAAGGATTCATGAATTTGAGAGATATTTGTTAAGTAGCTCTGGGGGAGGAAACAAAAGGAAAACTCGGTGCACTTAAAAAATTTTACTCATTACAAAACATATACTTTTACGTTTTCATTTTGAATTTTTGTTTTTGTTTATTTCTAAAAGAAAATAATTGGGCAAACTAAACACCTTTTTTTAAATTACTTAATACATATCAGACAAATCTGAGAGGGAGGGATTGCCTGAGGTTTTTTCAAGATCTTTACATTTCAGGTGTGGTCTGGAAATTTTAAAATGCTATTTTTCACTTAGGGAAATAAGAGAGAAAAAAAATCATTGAAACCGCTCAGATAAGACTCTAGGGACACAAAATATGTTATTACCTGTGCTGAAGTATTATTTTATTTTACACTGTAATTAAATGCTCAGTTTTCCCTCCTCCCCAGTCAATCTGATTTTATCCTTAGAAGGGAACAGATAATTTCTGTATCAAAAGCACAGTGGCACTTTCATGCATTGTCACTCAGTTTCCTGTGATGTCACCTGAACAATATGGTTAATAGGTTGTGATGGAAATGATAACCAGTTTCATCAGCTAAAAGTTCTCATGTGCCAGGATGCATTCCACGATCTACTAGAAGTTGCAACACACACAATTACATTGTTGGGCTTTTTTTCTCTCCCTAGAAGCTGGGCTGTACACTTTGACATGTCTCTGTCTCCTGGGCTCAAGCCTGGTTTCCAGTAGTGGTACCTGACCTACTTGTATGTCCTGCGATAAGATTGAGACCTCAGGCTGCCTGTTTTGTTACAAAACTAAAATCTATTGTGCTTCATGGAGCTGAAGATCAACTCCTTTTGGAATAGATTGCCAGGGTATTCTTCATTTTGATTTATTATCTACTGACTCAATACCCTTAAGACTTCACTGTTAAGATCCTGTTGCAGTTTTAGCTTGAAATTCATTTTGAAATTTATCTCTTACTTGACTACTGATAAAGAACAAAATTATTTACTGTGAGTTAAATGTTGCTTTTGACTGGGGTCTGGTGTAATCTGTTCATCCACAGGATGAAGAAAGAAGTGTGGCAGAGTTTCTGTGATTCTGGAGGTATTATTGTAGTGGTGGCCCAGCAGCCCAGGCTGGAACAACTCACTTCCCTAACTGGTTACTCCTGAGGTCTTGTTTTGTAGCAGAGTCCTTATTCAAGATGTCAATGGGATGAGCAAACTGCAGCCCTTATGTGACCTCCTGCATGAACAAATGCCAAGGGAAGGTGCAAAGGGATCCTCCGAATTCTGATCTGGGTGGAATGAAAGACGCATGACACAGGGCTGTTGACATCCTGGGGTCAGAATACTACCTGGCTTCTTCTTTGGTTTGTTTTGGGGTTTTTTGTTTGTTTAATAGTAGAAATCTTGCCATACCAGGAAAAAAAAAAATCTAAACATTCAGGGTCTAGCTTTTTATAGCTTTACTATGTTTCTTTCTTTTAATTTATTAAGTATTCAAGAAATTACTACAATCTTTCTATTCTTTGGGTCATTGCAAGGCTGTTCTTCGTTTCTTATTTTTTGTAGTTTACTTATTTAATTAATTTCTATTTTCTATTCAACTTACAATGTTGCTGATTTAATAAGTAGGCAAAATTCTTTCACTTTCTTTCTCTCTTTCTTTCAGTAGTTCAGGTCCTTAATCTTCAAAGGCTTTTATTCTCCAGTTTTCCTACCATTCTCTTTTGAATGTTTGACCACTAGCTGATTATTCGTTTATTTTATTTTAACCTGAGCAAGAAAAAAATTAGTTTCCTGCAGTTTTCACTCTCCTGTTGGTCTGAGTTAAAAAAGGAGTGATCATTAAGGTTAAATTTGTGTCAAGGAAAAGTCAGCTACAGTATATATAGCAGTCGTGTTAGAAAAGTACTGTTATGCAATTATGACTGCAAAAAAAGCTCTTTCAGGGATGGAACTATATATACCCCCAAAGAAAATGTCCTTGACTAAGACAGCTTGAATGGTACTCTATCTTACCTTCTATTACCACAACTTCCTTTCAACTTACATTAATGTTTACAGAGCAAATGCTGCATCTATTATAGTAAAGAATTAAATATGTAAGTGTAAGTATGGACTCATGAATTATCCTATAAGTCAATGAAAGATTGCAGGAAACAGAGGAGTATGGAGGAGTATGGTACATGTGATGTACCTTCTATTGCAACAATAATTTGTTCACTGAAATATTTTTAAATGTGTGGATTTAAAATTATAAAGGAAGTCCTTTTTTTACATTTTGCTTTGAATTTTATGGTGAATTTTATTGAAACATATTTTTTTAAATCAGTCATTTTAGTATTCATTTTTTTCAAATTATAATCTTTTACCACTTAATAATAGAGGAGCAGAAGCTTTTTAAGCACATAACAACGGTGACAATTTGATGGAATTCATTTTATGTAATAATTTTATCAAATAATATATTTCTTTTAAAAATACCATTTATTAAAACATTATCCTCAATTTAGGTAGAATGGTAAAGCAAATGTCATTTTTAAACACACGACCCACCTTCACTGACAATGCAGCACAATCACAACATATTATAGGAAATGTTGGCATGCTTTGGAACACAGGATGACTCTATCAATAGATTAATAAGCTTACAGATGAGCGCCCAGCATTTTTTAGCTACTCTTTTATTCACTTCTCCCTCTGCATCTCCATGTGTTTAACTCAAGACAGGATTTGATTCTCAGCACCTGAGTCATGAAGACATACTTGTGTGGCATGGATTAAAGCATTCATAGCTCACGAAAAGAAAATTTTGGTTTCCTTGAATATCTTCAGGACTGATGTACCAGGGAAAGTGTAGTTCTGGAGACAGGGGCTGACATACACCAATATAAAAGCAAACTCAGCATGGATACTTTTAGGAAAAATCAGGGGAAATAATCAGAGGCATTCCTTCAGATCTTCAGATGAAGGATAGAATTAAAATTCCCTAAATTCAAGTTCTTATGTGGATAAGCAAAAGATGCAAAACATCCTGAAATACAATGAGTATTGAGTATAAAAAGTAGTGACTATAAAAAGCAGCAGGGACTGAACACAAAATAAAATGTCTACTTAGATAATTCCAGAAATGGAAATTGAAAGTCTTGGTGACAGAGACAGAAATATTTTTTCCCACACTTTAGCACCTCTCACAAAACTCTCATGAAGTAAGCTTGATGGTAAGACATCAAGCTCATAATACTTCATTTTTGGAAACTATTTTTATCTCTATGAAGCTTTAATTTTTTTTTTCTATTATTAAGATGTTTACCTGGAAGATGGGTTGCATCTTCCATTCCCAAAAGTCTGGAAAATTCAGCAGTTCAGACTGCAGACTCAGCTAAGCAGACAAGCATCAGCACCTGCTGATGGTCCAGCTGCCTCTTAGAAATAATGTATGTCCTGAGTGGGACTGGCTGAGCAGGGACATGAGACATTGCACAGGGGGCAGGAATCTGATTTCATTTATTCAACGAAAGAGCAGAGTATTCTGCACACAAAGCATACACTGCCAGCAGAGATACCTGATGTATGAATGAGCAGAGGGAAAAAATACCCCACAAATGTAGATTCAGAGGGAAAATTGTGGCAGGTGGGGACAACTGTCTGGCCAGGAGGAAGGTTCAAAGGAATGAGAGGAAGAAAAATGATGGAGAAGGACAGAGAGCATTCCCTTCCTTTCAGCAGCGCCATGGTAGCAGGTAAACTACCATCAGCCTCTGGTTCTAGAGGTCCCAACATTTCCTTAACCTTATTTTTAAGATGTTTATAAATGGAAGAATTTATAAAAGGGCACTTCCATTTCTTCAGGAAATATTGTAAACAGAAGAAGTCTCCCACTTCAGATGAGAATCAGTCCTCCAAACCAACTTGCTAAGAATCTACTTGGGTTAGTACTGGAACAAGTCCATTTCTTGCCAGCATGAGATTAGGCCTTTTATTTTATGAGCACTGACTTGTCAGAAGGCACTGGAAAAGAATCTTAGTAAACATTTATTAATTTACTATGAAGAAATTCTAAATTTTACTTAATCACAAAGGAAGAGACATGAACAAGTGTGAAATATTGCAGTTTATTTTGCAAAGTTTGTATCAGCCTTTTGCATTCAATGTCTCAGCTGAGCAGCATGGACACCCCTTCATGAACATGCACATTAAGAGGTTACCTTGAAGAATTCCAATATATGTAATACTTGAGATGAATTCCTGCATTTGGGTTTTTTGCCTCTAAGAGATCTGTTCTATAATGATGTTATCACTGTTCCATACTGTTCTCCTAAACAATTTTCCTGCAAGAATTTTGTTGTGGAAGCCCTTAATAGTTGACAAGTGTTCCATAAAATACTGCTGTCTCTTTAGAATTTACCATGTTCTTTTCCTGCCTTAACTGCAGACAGAATATAATTCTTTTAATGTTCTGTATGAATATTCATAAGTGACAAGTACTCTGAGTTCTAAAATATCGGATCGGAAGGTTTTACAATTATTAGATCAGGGCTTTTCTCAATTGTACCCTGGGATTAAAATGTCTTTATTTCAGTGCAGTAACAGAGGAAGAACACAAGATTACAATAGATTTAACAAAAAGGAGATAACTTTGCATTATTTTTCATTCTTCTTTCAGTCTCCATCACGAGGATGGAGTCATGCTGTGACATTCTTCTCTGGGTATTGGAACATGAGAATGATATACTTGACTTTGAATGTCTCGAGTTTTGTAACGTATAATAGCTGAGTTTTACTTCTTTCACCCCGGCATTTTGCATTTTGATAGGCAAGTGCCACTTCACCGCTGAGGCCCTTCTGCTGACCTTTAACACAGCAGGTAGCTTCAGCAGTGCAATTATCACTGTGCCTTGTGGTGTCCTGGAGGATGTCAGCATGTGCACATGTAGAAACTGGGATATCAAGGATGTAAAAAGCAGAAGAGCACATACCAGGCAAAAGAAGTCATTTGATCATGACAACCCAGTCAAGCCAAAGTCCAGGTGATGGTTATGTCAGAAATTCTTGCTTAGCCTCCTTCATGCATTTGAGTGAAAACGTCAGAGGCTACGATTAATGTGACCCCATTTTACTTTCTCTTAAACTACTGCCATTTCCAGCTCAGAAAGTTCTGCCTACTGGTTGAATAACAGGAGATCAACATACAGGAATGTGATTTATCTACTTGATGCATAGTTATTAAGTTTGATCCCATTTTCCAGTTTCACCACTGAAAGTGGAAACCTTACATGGGTCATTGTTTCCGAATGTGGATGCCTAAAGCATAAATAAAAGTCAGGGTGTTCATCCTTATTTTATAGAACTACCTGGTATGAGAAAACCCCCAGGATTTTACTTTCAATAACAAGACAACACCAATAATACAAGTCTCAGTGAGCTATTACTATACCATGTCCAGCAAAGAGCAATCAGTGTGCATTAATACAAGTAGAAGATGGGTCATCCACAAAAAGTTAAGGAAAAGTGACATAAATGTCTCACATACTATAGTTTTGCTGTTGCAAAACTACAATAACTAGATATTACTGGTGCTGAGGAACTGCTCTCAAAATTTGCTAGAACTGAAAATGCTGTTTATGACAGAAGCATATGTGTTATATGATACTTTTGCCTTTGCAAATATAATTCAAAAAGCTTAGGGGTGTCTTCTTTAATTAGTAGCACCCTTTAGAAGCACCCTTGATACACCATCTTTGCTTTTGCTTTCCTTATCATCATTATTTCTCATTTCTTCACTTGGTGGCTGTTGTTCACCTTCCTAAGTTACATCCCCCCTCCATCTTCTTCCTTTTATCTCTTCAAGCAAAAAAAAAAAAAAAAAACAGAGCTCTGTTCACTTTTTTTTCTTCCCAAGACAAGTTCATCTTTCTTCAACATACTGCAGGAGAACAGCTTATGCTGATTTTCCTGCTTAAATATTATTTTTCATAGTTTCTCTGTTTATTTTTCCAAATGTGCTAAGAGACCTCCCAATGAGATCTTCTTCTCTCTTCATAATCTTCCCCTTAAGAATCTGAATGTTGCTAATATCTCATGGGTAAAATTCAGCCACTGTGTCCACATCAAGTCAAACTGAATTTACTCCATGCTCTGCAGCTGTTCCATTGTCTCCTTATTACAACACATGATTCTGTTTGTTTTATTTATTTATCATTTCTAAGTACCAGGCTTTCTGGCAAAATGTTGCCAGCTGGAAGTTACATGGAAAATGTTTAGTACAGCTTTAACACATGCTCCAGAGTATGTGTACACTCATTTCATTCTTGGTAAATCAGCATTTAGGGAATATGGGGAAATAGACTGTGAAATGCCATCAGCTTGTCCTGAGCTATGGTGCTATTTAATAAAATCTCTAGCAAATTCAAAATGCAGAAACACTTCTGAGTCTTTAATGCATGCATTTTCTCCTCCCTGAGCTATCAATATCAAAAGCATCTTAAGAAACTATGTCAATGAAAAATGAAGGAAAATAAATAGAAAAAAAATTAATAGGTATTTCTGATGAATAAGTATCATCCCTGACTGTGCTAAATGCATTTCTAATCTCTTTTTTTTTTTGGGCATTTATTAGCACTTATTTCCCTCAGTTAAATAAGAATGACATGTTATAAATAACGTTTATGCCTCTAGGAGTTTATGTAGAGGATCTTTTGGTTTTCTGCAGCTTTTGTCTCATTCAGAATTAACTAAAGTTCTCTGTTGACAAGGTCTAAAATACAGAAATAAGGAATAAAACTATCAGTGTCTGTGTGAAGATCCTCAGTTTTTGAGGTATGGGGAGTTACTGCAGAGGGAGTCTCACAGATGCCCTCATCATTGCTTGGTGCAACAAGAGTTCAAGTTTCAATGTCTGCTGCCATGTCCCCATATCAGTCCAACAGAGATCTTCCAAAGCACATTACACAAGCCCATTAAGAGTAGACACATCTTCCTAGACAAAGTCCTCACACTTAGGTTGAATTCCCACCTGTGAATCACAAAAATACAGGTTTTGGTACCAACCTCAATTTTGAATACTTTTACAGGCATGTCTACTTTCATGTATCTGTCATTAAGACTTGGAAACAAACAGCATAAAAGCATAAAATGCTGGTGAATATTAAGATCTTTTCACTACTAATTTCCACTTGATTTTTCTGAATTTTCTGGATTGCTATGTGATATATACTGATATTTGATAATGATGAACTACAACATAGTTCCACTTCTTCTTCAGAAGGAATTAATTTCCATACCATTTCTCAGTAATAACTCTGTCCACCAGAATCCATTCAGACATAAACACAGCTTATTATTTGTGATAGTTTGGATCCTCACTGTTTATACAAATCTGAATAAAAATTGTAACAAATGTCACTTACCTATGCACTGGGGATTAAAGTCCACTACACTCCAAATCTGTGAGTCCAAATAAGAAACGGAATTAAAATAAATGTAATATATTCATTTCTGGAACTATCTCAATATACGTCTGATACATCACTTCAACTGAATTGATATTTACATTTCATATTTTTCTTCTTCTCTCTCTCCAGCCTTCCTCAACATTGACACCAGTGATTTAAGGAAGATTATAGAAGAGCAATATGGAGCCGAAGAACTCAGGAAGAAAACAAAACATGGAGTGTTTCAAATGTTTATAAGCCAAAAATGGCCATTCTAACACACAAACTAATTTCTAGTTACCTACATAATGATCAGTATGTTGGTGAATGTTCAAGACAGTTTGAATCAATCCACAGAAGAATTCATAACAACATGCATAACTAATCAACATGAAAAAAAAATTTAAATATCATCTCCGGCTTCAGACTTCTCATGTCAAGCCATCACAAAGGGTAATTTTGTTACTTTTAAACCTCAAAATGTGACATAACTTGAAAATGACAGTAAGTTGTGACAAAAGTCCTCTAGAAAAAAAAAAAAGTAAACATGAAAACTGCTGTCTTTTGCCTCTTAAAATCCCCAGCATTTTTTCTTGAAAGAATCTGAAATAACTACTCTCATTTCTATATTACATTAAGCTATGGTTTTCACAACATAAGAAAGATATTAAACTATTAGGGAACATCCAAAGGAGAGCAGAAAAAGGGTGAAGGGCCTTGAGGGGAAGCCGTGTGAGGAGAGGCTGAGATCACTTGGCCTGTTCAGCCTGGGGGCGCCCTCATGGCAGTTTCAGCTCCCTCATGAGGGGAAGAGGAGGGGCAGACACTGATCTCTTCCCTGTGGTGACCAGTGAGAGAACTTGAAGGCGTGGCCTGAAGTTGTGTCAGGAAGGTTTAGGTTGGATGTTAAAAAGAAGGTTCTTCACCCAGGGAGTGCTTGGACTTTGGCGCGGACTCCCCTGGGAAGTGGTCACAGCACCAGCCTGAGAGAGCTGAAGAAGCATTTTGACAACGCTCTCAGGTACATGGTGTGACTTTGGGGACGTACTGTGCAGGGCCAAGAAGTGGACTTGATGATCCTTGTTGGTCTCTTCCAGTTCACCATACTCTCTGATTTTGTGAAGTGTCTTTGGAAGAGCACTCGTTTCCATATTTGCTTTCAGGTTATGCACCAGTAGTACAATATTCATCTGGAGCACCACCTATGCATCTTTGAACACAGAGACAGATAATAGTGTTAGCTGTCCCTCAAGGCATTTATTTTTACTAGCTGGTCTCTGGAACAAGACTAAGATTCTATATGAAAAATGTGGGAGGGGGATTTAGCAAGCAGGACTGCGAATTTTACCATGAATTTAGCAGCAAGCGCTGATGGCCGCACAGTACCTGGATAATCGTTACACAGATGATAACCAGGTAGAAATTTTCCTTCAAAATTAACAATAGCCTCAAAAATGTGGTTGTTAGCCACAGAGGCCTATTTGGATTGAATCAACAGCAAACTTCAATAGGAGTAAATCACAAAAACAATATTCTGCTGAAGCAAATTTCCTGTATGACAGCACTTTCTGAAATAACAAGCTGTGCTGGTCAATGCATCAACAGCTCTTTATAATAATAATTAATAATAATGACAATAACAAGAACAGTAATAATAATACATCCTGTATGTAGAATATTAAAGAAACTCAACATTTAATTTAAATGGTGAATAAACCTGCAATCCAGCAAGGGTTGTTCTCTTAATGCCTGATCCTGTGTGGGGCTGACAAAGATCACTGTCAATTACCATCACAGAGAGCTTCTTGTGCTGCAGATCAGCCAGGCTGGCAGGGAAAACTCTGCAGTGCTAGGAGGAAAAAATTTTGAGAAGGAAGTTCAGATTCAAAGTGAGACCTGTGTGTCTTAGGAACTGATTCTGCAAATACTGGTTCATAGCAAAGAGCTGCACAGGCAGCCAATGTAAGCAATGCCATTTGAAATGATCTTTCAGCATGCCCAGTTTTATGTCTATTTTCCTAGAGCTATGGATTTTTTTAAATAGTATTTTTAATATTTTTCCTTAAAAATTAATTTGTCAAAAGAATAAAGAACATGCATTTATATCTGTATTTGAACAATTTCTAAAAGTCATCTTTAAAATTAATCCCCTGATAATCAGACAAGTTTGGATGTTTTGTTCTGTTTTTTTCCTAATTGCATTTGCAAAGCATTTTAAGAATTGGCTTAACATTTTATATGCGCTGATATTAGATCAAAATGGAGGCATTTATGCCGCATGCATTGTAAATCAAATACTTCCTTATTTGATATGAGTTTCCTTAACAAACTCATATAAAAGACAAAACAGTCAAATAACTGAGCCTTAGTTATGAAACACTGTAGTTGCATGTTCTCATAACATAAACATTTACAGTAACTGGGTTATTCACAGATGAAAATCAAATCCATTTCAGTTCAGATAATCATTCTGCATTAGAAAAATGAATAAATTAAAAGTATGCTCCAGCAATTTACTCTTCCCAAGCAGCTATCCTGCACGCTCTGCAGAGGATGTCAAAACCTGCTGATATCTAGCAGAGTCAACTCCCAAGTTTGTGTATCCCGGTCCATTCTACCTTTCCATCAGGCAGTACATGTGGAAATGGAAAAATAGCTCTCTAATTAATCAAAGTCAGATCTGCCTGAACGCCTGGAGTTGCTGCTGATCCTTGTCCCAGCTTCTACCATGTTCTCTCTCTATGTTTTTTACCTTGAAAACTTCTGCTCTGAGCTGGGAATGCCTGAAGGGCTTGCACGGTAAGTCAATGTGAAATTATCTCAGCAGGAAGAAGTTGCTTTTCAGCTTAAATGATTTAAGGCAGCAATTTTTCACACTCTCAAACTCTGACAAACGCACAGATTGCCTCTCATGTTTGACTTCAAAATATTCAAAGAAAAGCTATTTTTATTAAAAACACTCTAGAGAAAATTGTATGTCACTTGTTCTCTGATATAACTTCATTTCTCCTGACAGTGACAATTTTCACCTCAGTACAATTTCTTTATTTTTTTCCAAAGCTAATTCTGCTTAATATTAGTATTTATACAAACTCATATCAACTTGTCTCTGTGAAATGTTCAAGGGTGTCAGGTAAATGTTGCTCACTGTCAGTCATCTTCTTTGGTGCTCAAAATGATCAATAGATTAAAAACTACAGCTACTTACTTAAGATATTATTGTTTTATTTGTAAGGAAGAACTTAACAAATGTTTGATCGTTTTATTCAACAGAGCTGTGTCTGAAAACTATGAGGACCTGAAAACTTGAAGGCAAGGTCTGCTGTAGATTTTTAAAACTTTGTATGAGTAAGTCTATTTGTTCTGTGTCTTTAAGCAAAGCAGGTAAAACAGTGAATGTTTTGTCTAACACTGCTTACCTCTTAAGAAGATTACTTGAGATGTCATATTGCAGTGAAACACCACGTTGGCTTTATTATGAATGCTACAGTGCAGAAACATCACATTATAATCACTTCAAACAAGAAATATATTCTGCATATTTTCATCTGTGTTTATAATTCCACTAAACCTCAGCAGAATCAAACTCAGTAAGGACACAAATGACAGAAGGTTTAATGTTCCCAAGACTGTTGAAATCTGGGAACATTGATTTATGGCAGAATTGTTAGTATGTATGTTACTTGTGGCCTGGGACCCCAAAGCATATCTTTTGGCCTTATCACTTTGCCAGGAGAAAAAGTAACCACTGACATGTGCATGTCCACAAATAATTCTAAGGGAATTTGTAAAGTGAAATTTCATAAAATGTTGTACTGCAGAAGGAAAAGATTTATGGATGCAATGTGTCCATTTAGAACATTTGTGTACTGACAGGCACAATAAGCTTTGCTTTGCCATACCCTCAGACTATTACAAATGTTTCTTTTTCCCTCTGACAGAGATTCAGCTTCCAAACTAACCTGCATATATTTTAATTTCATTGATACATATGTCATAGCAATTAAGGGAGGATTTACATTGTAGCCTTCTATTGTACACAGCTCTAGGTCAAATGTAGTACATCAAAGATGGACGTACATTTCATAAATTCCAGAGTTTCAGCAATACCATACATAGCCATTCAGCACAGGCTTAACACTGTGAGAGGAATAAGAGCAGTTTTTGTTCCTGTGAGCTCTGTCAGCATCACTCCTCTGTTGGCAGCAGCAGAGGTCAATGATTTTGGCCATTCAGTTCACATTATCTTAACCTGGACCGAGTTTAGGTGACAAACATGACAAATCTCGGCAGCAATTTAAAATAAAGCATAGATAGAGGTTAAATTTAGCCCTTCAGATTAAAGTTGAATTGTTGCTATGAGAAATGCCTTATTCTACAGAGTAAGGTAGATAGATTTTGCATATTGATTATCAAAAATATTAATTTCTTCATAGTTAAAATACACTACCTAAGGATATAAGTAAGTACCAGATACCTAAGAAATTACAGCTGGACTTTCCTATTTTAAGAATGTAGCATTCAGTGTATTTCAACAAATATTTTTTCCTTGTTTCTCAGAACAGTTTTTAGAGTGTATTTGTAGTTTTTTAGTGAAAGCTATATAGTAAGTGCCGTAAATTATACATTTCTGCAATGATCATTTGAACTAGATTTCTGTTCTTGTAACATTTAGATAATAACCAATTAGAGAATACATTTTCCTCTTATAAATACTAAAAATTTTATTTCCTTTTTCCTTGAAAATGTGATAGAATTAATATTAAGCAGTCATTTAAAAACACATACTATCAAAATTAATGTTAAATTGAAGATATTCCTTGCCTTAGACATTTAAATTTAATGACTATTTAAGGGGAAAACAAACACTTTTTATCATGTTATTCATTAGACAATTATTTGATTTTGCACAGTTGTAACTATTGCCAATTAGACTGCTTGTATTAAAAGACACTCTAGTTGGGATGTTCCCTGAATTATATATTTCACCATATTCTTACTAATGAAAAGTTTAGATGACAGAATACCTTATGCAAAAGTTCGAGCTTTATGCCTACTTTCCTTTATTCATTCACACATAGAATATGTACTTTATTATGTTAATCAAAATGCTACATAAGTCTGCTTTTTCTGACTAATGTATCGCAATTCAATTTTGCTTCGATAGAACACTGCAAGCAATTACATCTATTTCATCCACAGAAACTCATCCCTCTGTCTCTTCCTTTCCCTCTTTCTTTATCTTTTTAAATGTTGTATTGACTTATGGTATGTGAGCTGTTAAAATCATGCAGACTTACTAAGATCTTCATTTACAAATGGAAACTGAAGCAGAAAACTTCTGACTTTTTAAATCCCTGATATTTAAATTGCATTTTCATGTGTATAGAAATAGTTCAGTTAACACCATTTTAAGTAATCCTTTAGTTCAACCTATGTCTTTCTAGTCTAAACATTTTTTTTTATTTCTCCAAAGTTTATCTGGACTTTTTCAATATGATGTATGTCAAGGAATCAGCCTAAGTGATAAAAGCAGGAAGGGAAAGTCTGCATCAGTGAGTATTTATATTGGCAAGAACTGACAATTTTATAAAAGAAAAACAAACACCAAAGCTGTTCATTCCTGAAATGAAGTCAACTTCACTTCATTTCTCTTAGGAAAACATCATCACATGAAATGATATAAATCAGTATTGATATCAGTAAGCTTCAACCTAGAAGAGACAAATGCACTCTGCAGCACAGTAATTCAATGGCTCCGAGTCAAGTTTACTGTTGTCTCGTTTCTACTAATCATTGTAAAAATTCCCTGTGAAATAATTATCCCTAAAACAATCAAGACAGTATATCTCTATAAAGGAGAGGATCGATTTAACAACAAACTCTAGATTTATCTGTATTGATTAGAGGGCATTCAGTGTAATTTTAGTGAATTATGTTTGGCTTTCATTTCCCAGTAGAAATTTTTCTTGTGATGATCAAAAGGTAAATTACAAACTACTACATGTCTTTTGTGTGCCACCTACATAACATCCCACTATTACTTTTCAAAGAAACATCAATGGAAGAAAGGAAAAAAATATTGGGGATTTTTTATACAGGATATCTTACTATAAAAATCATATGACTGAGTTTATAGCACTTACCTAAGAGCCTGATGTCATCTTCTCAATTCATTAATACAGAAATCAGGACTGCACTAAAGAGTCTGTGCTAAAGGAACAAATCCAAGATCATCTTATGAGAATAGAATTAGAAAGATTAAGAAAGTAATATAATTTTTCTTCTTAAATAGGAGTAATTTCAAAGCAGCTGTTAACACTTTCATGTCTGAAACTTCCTTACTGGCACGAGGGAGAACTAAAGGAATCAGACAGATTCAAAGACAATTTAATGTAGCTGTAAGTCTGACACTGCTGCTGATACAATTTAATTGAGTACTAATTAGAACTAAGAAGGCTAGTTATTTTGTCAACCGCACATGTGTTAGTTCCAGTCATTTTTAATCCAAAGTAACAAAGAGAAAGAGTCTAGCTTACTTTGTTTAGTTAATAACATTAGGCCAGAAGGATCACCTAGTCATTTCATGTTACCCAATACATTGCTAATATAAATAATGTTTAATTACAGTGACTACTCGCTCCCATGAAATGACCAATTAGAACATTTGCTGATTCTACATGTTGATTGTTAGACACATTTCCACAGGCTTTCTGTGTGTTGTATTCATAAATTCTACCCCAGCTGGTAGGAAGCATAAGAGCAGAATATGAGAGGAAAAAGTTTATAAGCAGCACAAAGGACATTTAAATTCTGAGAGAGAGTTTCCATGCAAAAATATATAAAATTAAAATATACTTTTTAGTATTCCCTAAGAGTATGTAATATTGCACATTTATATGCTATTCTTGCTGAATCCAGCAGATCATGTGGTGTGTTCAAGACTCATATGATAAAGAAAGCATGTGTTAGCATTTTAATATTTAGACAAACAAATAGAGAGTGATTTGAATTCACTTACAAAGCTGATTTATCTATAATCTGTACCTGGTATGAATTATGCCAGAGTAGTGTCTTATTTATTTTTGTTACTTTACTGATGAGTCAGTAACTGTCCCCTGAAATATTAGTCCAGCACGTACCGATGTTTTGTAAAGTAGCAAAATCTGGCAATAATATTGACAGCATGTGTAAACTGAAATTCAAATCAAAATAGAAAAATACAATAAATGAGAACAAACTCTTCCTTGTCTAAAGAAAAATTGCTGACACTGTAAAAATTGCTTTTTAATGATTGAATTATTATCCCTTAAGTAATTATCCTGAAAAATTTTCTAGTTATGTTAAAGTAAATAACAGTACATCAGTGTGTGTATTGCCAAATCTAATTAATGCAAAGTATTAGAAATACTGGAAACAATGGGACACAGCTATCGAGACAACTTATATAAAGGAAATTAATTTACAAGGATTGCAATCAATGCATATATGACAGCCAAATAAGAATTGGATACTGAAAAAGTATCTGGAAGTATTGGTGTTATCAATTGCTCTGCAGGTGTCTGAAATGCCTGGGTGCTGCACATGTCAGTGCAAAGACTCAATCCTTCTCTCTCTTCAGTGAGTTCAAAAGTTGCCACTCAGGTCAGTGTGATAGTGTCAGGTGCTTTTCTTATTCTTCTTAGGCAATGCCCCAAACAATATTAATCTACTTACATGAATTTTTTTCCTTTGAATAAAAGGCAGCATGATAATCTGCATGTCTGACCATAAGAATTTGAGAGAATTAAAATGTAGCTTAAAACACACGTCATGTAAATAATTACAATTTACTAAAAGATAAAACAAAAAAATGACAAATGTTCTCTTAAATTAATTGGTGTACACTGAATGTGTGCTACATTGTCTTGTGCGGGATATTTTAAAATGAAATATATTATAAACTTTGTCTTATTGCAATTAGATTAATAAAAGCAAGTAATTAAAAGACTCCTACTTTTTTTTTTCTAGAAAAAAAGAAGAGCTAGAAATTATTCAACTATCTGGAAAAGAATCAAAGCTTTTATATAGAAAACAATTCCTTGAGCTGAATTTCAATTAATCAATAAGATGGTTATTTTTCAATAGCTAATAATTGTCTTTATATAAACTGAAAATATTGTTTGGGATGATTAATATACAATGCCACATAATGCATTTGGGAGTGTCAATGCATAATTCTTAGTTCTAATGTTATTATGTAATTGAGAGAACATGTTCATTTGCCCTAATAACTACTAAGATGCACTTAATAAAATGAAATGTAATAATACTTGTAATTTAATCTATTCATGGAAGTAATTTTAAAAGTCTAGCATTCTCCTTAATGTGGATAGCATTCATAATTTATAAAGTGTTGTGATGCAGAATTGACAATGCCATTGTTTTTTACACTTTGAGATGAATCTGCAGGCTTCATTATCTGCATACCAACCTCAGGATTATCAAGGGCAAACAAAAGATAATTAACACCAGAAACTGGCAAATGCAGGAGATACTGAGTGAGGTTTTTCATTTAATGTAGAACCTTTGAAAACTGGGAAATGGCATAACAGTTCAAAATCTTTTTTTTTTTTCTTTTTGCAGAAAACTATTCCAGTATGTTTTCTTTCCTACATTTTAAATATCATGGTTTTTGCTATAAAATTATATTGGCATGTTCAGCCTTGGATACTTTCGGTAAATGAATGTGTTCAGATGGGTATTTTTTCCAAAGTACTAAGTGTTCATTTTCTGCTGTGTTTTTTTCATCTAGAACAGTAGATGGGTAATTATGGTATATATTTCCAAATTCTATAGTTTTACTTCCCCACAGCAGATCTGTAAATAAATCACTTAACTTCTCCTTGCCTCATTGTATCATTCTCTAAGGATGAAAACTTCTACTACACAAATTTGATTAATGAATAAGATGTATTTTTATGTTAATAGTTTGTAGGAAAAAGTATGTGAGACTGCCTTGGGCATTTTTATATGTACTCACAGCAGAACAATAAAGGTTTACTAAATGCTGATATAGGTCCGAGAGAGAATATGAGAATATAAGAATCACTGACATGTTTTTTTGTTTTTTGAACAAGTCTTGACTATGATTCTGCAGTGCACTCAAAAATATTTGCCACATAACTAGCAATTTCAGAAATTAACCATTGAAGATCCTCCACAAAGAGAATCTTTTGAATGCAAGGCAAAGAAACATTATGTGGTTAGACTCTAATCTGTGAATGAACACGCTTCTACAAAAGGTTCAGGAAAAGTCATTTTACAAATGGAAATGCAGGACAGTGACATTCAGAGTTTTACATAACTTACAGATTTTGATGGCAGTCTAACTCCCCACGTGTTGCTTACATAAGTTCTTATTACAGGGGAATGTGCTTATTAACTTAAGAGCTATCCATGAAAGATTCAAACATTTGTGTATAAAAAACTTCATGTACTATCATACCTTTATAATTCAGAACTGCAATGCCTTTTAAGTAACTAATCTAAAATGAAATAAAACCAGTAGGAATTTGTTTTCCACCCAGCACAGTGTGCTGAGAGCACTCTATACAGGAATGATGGTTACACTCCAAGATTCAAGCTGCAGGATAACTTGATGAGTCTTGTTCTCTTCCAGAAGGTCTGGTGCCAGTTATAATGAAGGTTCCTTAATTATGAGGATTGTCTCTTATTCCTGCTTACCAAAACTCTTGGCCCCAGTTCATCCTGGACAGTGACGGGCACCAGAAGGTGCATGGGACAGGGAAACTTGTATGAGCACACTGGCCCCCCAGAGACATGGAGAGGCTGAGACCAAGGGCTTTCTCCACATCCTTGGACATCCAGACAAGTATTAAAGTGCCTGAAATCCCACAGCAACTGTGTGGTTGGTGATCAGTTCAAACGAGGGAGCAGCATGCCCTTGGGATCAGCAGGGCATGTGGTACCCCGGGGTGTGTCAAGCACAGCATCCTTAACAGCAGGAAAAGAGAGGCTGTCTCACTAGGCTCAGCCTCACCTCAAGTGCTCTGCACTCTTTTGGACAGCATAATACATTATAATCAGTCCAAAGGAGGGCAAAAAATATGCCAAAGGGACTAGAGGGCATGACTTATGAGGAGCAGATGAGGCTATTTTGTTTATTCAGCTCAGAGAAGAGGAGGGTGCAGAGTGATCTCATTGCTGAATACAACCTCCTCATAAGGGGGAGCAGAGAGGGAGGAATTGATTTCTTTTTCCTGGGGTCCAGTGATGAAATGCATTAAAGCTACATAAGGGGAAATTTAAAGTGGATATTATGAGAGGGTGGTCAAAGACTGGAACAAGTTCTTGAAGAGCTTGGTCATGGTCCGAAGGCTCTAGTTGGTGTTCAAAAAATGTTTGAATGATGCTCAGCTTCATGGTTTATTTTTTTTTTATGTGTTTTAACTTCTAGGTTGCCCTTTGTGGAGGCAGGATTTGGGAGCAATGATCCTTATGGGTGCCTCCCATCTCTAGGAATGTGTGATTCTGTGTACTGGGACTCTCAGGCACTGAGCTGTCATTCTTTGACTAGTTCTCATTCTAGTTTCTAGATACCTCTGAAAATAGAGCTCCAAACTTTTCCCATGCTCAGTGGGAAGCTTTGAAATGTAGGAAAAATGAAGAATCAAGATGCTAAAAGTCCTAAGTGTTATGGTGATCTAAAAATATTTTTGTTAAAATTCATTTTTTGAGGACACTGGTTTCAGTTCTGCAAATATTTGTAGAAAAGGTTTTTAATCTAAGGTCTTTAAATTAAATATAAAATGTCTGGAAAAGAGACCACGTCCCTTTGAGAGAATATCAGTTCACTCACATCAATTTATTTATTTAAAAGCCCTCATCCTTTCATTGAATTCATCTTCTATTTAACTCCTCCTGAAGGAAAATGAGGTATATCTTCAACTAGCTGGACATTACTGTAAATACATTTTATGGATTTAGGATACCTTTCTTAATTAAACACAGGAAAACCCAATCAAAGTATGTGCAGCTTGATTACCAGGTGCCACAGTAAAAAACACACCATGTCAGATGGGGTAGTGGGCAGTGGTGGGCTCTGTTACAGTCACTGCTCCCCATGAACACACCCCTGCCCCCTGAAGCAGCCTCTGTTTATGAAGTTCAGAGGACACACAGAGTAGATAATGTGGACCTTCTCCATTACAGAGATTTTTTGTAAATTCTGACTTTCGTGCTTTATCCTTCCAACTTATACTAGGACTACCAGTAATAAAAAGCCAATAAAATAATAGTAATAACAATAATGATGGAACCTGTTTGCTAATCTTCACATATGATTTATGCTATAATTTGGAGTCGGTTACATTCATTTCTGCAAATACCAGGATACTAAAGCATTAGAATACACATTCAGGAAGGACTTATATGCATCTTACTATGACAGATCCAAATCTATATTCCCTGTATGGATGAAAACTTCAGGGTGACAGTGCTTCAACAGGACTAAAGGAGCTTCCACAAAGAATGCACCCATGGAAAGAACAACTTTCACCTGGTATATGAGGGATGATGAGCTCCTTATAGGTCTATACATCTAGCAATTTTTTGAGAATTCTTGGAAAAAGGCAGAGAAGGTTTGAGAAGATTGGCAATAAATCCTTAAATTTAAAATTAACAACAAATTAACTCCTATCAAAAGGACTAAATGTATCATACACTGGATACAGGTTGATTTTTCTCCCTTACAGGTATATTTATGAAAGCACATTCACCACAAAATGTGCACCCCCAAATTTACTGCCTGAGGATGAAATAATAGTAGGTGATAACTCTTCCAAATAACCCCTGCCTTTGTGCTACATTTAAACACAGTGATCACCCTCCAGCATTAAACCAATAAGGAGTTTTCTATTTCGAGTTGTACTATATATGGTAAGGAAGTACCAAATCTCAACATTACCCCCTAAAATTCAACTTCTGTTTGCAGTGATTAGAAGGATGATGAATAGAGTGTCAAAGTTTTTCAGCATCTCAGGAGTCCAAACTAACACCTGCAGAATCCAAACAATGTGGAAATTATTAGAGGTTTGCACCATTGTGCCCTCAAGATGCTGAGTGCTTTCTTGGTTGGACAGTTGCTCAGTGCTATCTTGTGGCTGCTTAAGAAACCCTTCAGATGCTCCTTTCTGTCTTTAGTTTTGAGATCCTTCTTAGAACACTTCTGTAGCGTTGGACCATCTTCACTATTTGGTCCCGCTTGTGTTGCAATTAACAGCTGACGAGAGTCAAAAAGGAAGGGGTACTTTTTTCTTTTATTATCCTGCATGAGATTATGCTTCTGGTTCTTCAGTGGTAGGACTTACTGCTTGACTAATTGCAATGTGTGCCAGATTTCCAAAACTGCCTACCAAATGGCCATAACTGCCAAATATATGCAGAAACTGCAGGAGCAAAGAAATGGGTAGGTAATCTGCCTGTATGTGCAATTACAGTAGCAGTTGTTCATACACTTTGCATGAATGTAGTTTTATGTATGCAATTATGGAAATCAAAGCCTAAGCTTGTACTGACAAACGTAGATACTTCCCTAACTGAAAGTAATGCTAGCTCTACACTCTACTTCCAGCTGACTGAAGAGCTTTGAAACCTCTTTTGCTACATTGATTCTTCTAGCTGTCCATGCACACTGTGTCATATAATATTATTCAATTGATCTACAGTTGCAGGGGCCAAAGTGGATCTCTAGAGAGAGGGAGAATAATTGTCCACATTTATCAGTCATGTCAGATAAATGTCTATAACTCAGGGCAAACTCTTGTGAGTAGAACTGGAGAAAGGAGTAATCTGGAACTCTTTTGAGTATCTCATTGATGTGAGAATAGACTAAAGAAGCCCTTGTTTGGTGGTCCAATTGTTCAGTGAACACGTACTGTCAAAGTTACTGAAGCATACCCATTAATCTGCATGCTACATGCTGAATAAAGGGATGAAAAATGCTCAATTCAAGCCACAAAATGACCTATTTGAGTTACAGCTGGGGGGTTTTTTAATCAGCTGTGGACTGCTAGAACATATTTTGTGTCCAAAAATTCTCAATCAACACTTTTATGGAATGATTTTCTTGTGTGTGTGCATTTGGGCTGAAAAATCTGAAAGTGAATATAAAGTCTGAATAATGCAGCTACTAGTTGTGTACTGATTCTGTCAAATAAGGAAAGCTTGATTTTTTCTATGGACTCAAACCAAATTTTGACCCTGGGAAAATAGGGTTTGCTTGTGCCAAACATGATGTCTAAATACCTTTGACATAGAGAAAGTAATTCAGTCATTCATACTTGTGAGTTAGTTTCAAAAAGAATGGAAAGCATTAACTCACCTCTCAAGAAAACAGGGATGGATATCAAGTTTTATATGACGGGTAATTATTTTCTTACATTGTTACATAACATTTCATTACATCGACACGTCACATTACAGTGCTTCCCCACAACTACGTGGGGGGGGGGGTGAAGGCAAAAAGCCCTAAAGGTCACCATGTCACTTAGTTTAATAATTCTCAGTTTCTTTAAAAAACTTCCCTTTCAAGTAGATAAGCAATGGAAGTTGTACTGCAAATTTAGCTGGGTTAATTCTAGTGCCAGTGGCTCAAAGATGATATGGCAGTTAGTGCCTTTAAAGAATCCAGGCTGAATATCTCATGTTCAAGTATTTGTGACTAAATAAAATAACAGACCTGAGGATGAAGGTATCTACCAATTCTAGGAGGATCAAGGAGGACAAGTTCCTAACAGTTTGTTAAGAACACTGGTTTGATTTTTCACTACAACAGAAAAGAAATAACACTGTTACTTTTATCTTGGTCACAGAAAGTCTCTTCATGAGCAGCCATTATGGTTAGCTATGCATGCTTGGGATTGCATAGCAGGCATGTCATAGCTCCTATGAAAGGCACGTATCTCAGTCACTTCTCCTAAATCTGTACTAGAGATGGGCATTGTGTTTCTCTATTTATTCTTTACCTCTGAAAAATAGATACGTTTAACAATCCAGACCACGTTCCAACTTTAGATTTTCATACTACCTAAGGAAAAGAACTGAGCCAGCGTGGTGGAAAACTTTTCTGTTTAATGAGAGATAATATTGATTTCCTGTACTTCTGCCTTGTTCTGAGGTATGGCAAAAGA